GTAATTACATTTCAACCTGGAGAGACTTACACATAGAAAAGTTGCAATTAAAAAATATTCATATCATCTATATAGGTAACACAATCATATTCTTCAAAATATTTCCATCTAAGGAAAACCAGCTATATGCGAGGAATCAGTGACTCTGCAATCCCTTGCACTGAGCATGCATGCAGCGACAGTGGAGAGGCCAACTGGGGTTCAGGGAGAGGGAAGCTGATAATGACAGAAATTAAACAAGTTCTTTGGCTTCGATGCTGGGAATCAACATAAGCTTGGATGAGCAACCTAGAAAAGGATTAGAGTAGTCTTCCCCCGGGGCCCGGACACTGGTGGTGGAATAAGCTAGAGGCTGAGTGGGACTGAAAATTAAAGAGGCGATGGGGTTGAGATGGGTGAAAGTTCACTTGTGTGCGGGAAACAGAAGCTGGGCCAGGAGGTGAAAGAAGGGGATCTTGCAAGATGATTGGTTTCGGAGAAGATGCATTCCCTGAATGTATTGACTGGAGGTAAATTAGTGACATCACGGGTGTCTTACAGATTGAATTTACACTTAAGCTGCATGACTGATATTTTCATTTACATCAGCACAGTAGAGAACAGACTTCATGATGACAAAGAAACATCAGACAGGTAAATGCAACATTTGTAGATGTTAAACAGATTAAAGTTACATAAAAGTATCTCAAGCAGGTGCTTTTTGCAGATTTAGCTTTTGTGGAATGCTAGCAATAACATCAAACAAAGGTTTGTCAGCAAACCAAAAGCACCATAAGGTAAAACATGGTTGTTGAAGCATTATAGTGTGGAGACAAAGAAGTAAGAGAAGCTGGATGTTGGTCCGAGATTTTGAGGTCTACAGAACTCAACACATAGTTAGAGACTGGAAATGCATTGGTCGAAGCATTGGCATGTATTAGAACCTAAATACAATTGAGAAACTGTAGCAAGAGTTGAAAATTTTTATTCAGAGAAATTCTCAATCCAATCTGACCGTGTTTGAGTTATTTTGAAAAGAGGAAAGATTGAATTTCACTCTCTAGGTATGCAAGTCTGAAGATTTTGCAGCTGTCGTTTTAGTGGAATGGAGTTTAATAACAAAGTAGGCAAGGGTATATATAAATGTAATTTATAAAACATTATTAAAACCATGTATTATTATCCTTCCATTTCTCACTACTTTCTGTTGGTCTGTCAGGTATAGTGCTAATATGAACTGTGGGTATAATGTGACCAAATTCTTAATATATTAGCAGATTTCTAAACACCTTTTCAAGGAAAACTTTTAAAGACATGGTCTCAGATCATCTTACGTTATTATTGCCAGTAATCTGTCCAGTACATCAGTGCTGTGGTTTAAAAATCTCTCACTGCCCTCTGTTGTCCATTTACATAGTGAGCAGATAATAGCACATAGAGCAGACAGAAATGAGTCGGCACCATATTCGCCCTTAGAGACAGCACTAGTTGAGGTGTGCATTGTTTTTATAGCACTTTTTGTAACCAGTCTCCACATGCTACAGTATGTAACCCACCGTTCGCTCTTTATTGTCCTTACAAAGCTCTACATGGCTCCAGGAACCAACTGTGAAAGTTTCACCTGTTAGATGTCTGCTGCTTTGGTCTCTGTCAGCGTGGAGCCCTATATAGGACGAGGTTATGGATGGCTAAACAGCAAACCAACATGACGAAATAAAAATTCAAACAAAAAGTTCTCCCCAAGTTTCGTGTTGATCATAGTGTCTCTGCAACTTCGGGTGATATCTTTTGGGATATGGACTGTCACAAAAATATTGGAACATGCAAAGAAATCATCAGTTTCAAGAGAAATATTATTTAATCTTAAGACGAAAGCAGTTAAAGAAGTGGCGGTTCTAGACCAAATGTTCCAGGGGGCCAGGAGGGGGCAGCAGGTTTTCATGGGGGCACAGAAAAGCATGAAATAAAAAACAGGGCAAGAGATTCAAACAGATCAAGAGCACTGCATAAAGCGAAATTTCTATTTAATTAGGTTTAATTAAAATTCTATGTCTTAGGTTAATATACATTCACAATACAGGAATTTTACCTATTTTTGACATAATTTAAGTTAAATAAAAAGCCATAAAAAAATAGAGCAATTTGTTTTGAAAAAAAAAAACATTTAGCAGATGAAAACTGGGATCCTATCTCAATACCACTGAAGCTATCACCTTATCATTTTTAAATAATTAGTCAAACAGAATTTGTAAAGAAAAATATATATATATATATCCAAAGGACGTATTAGTAACCATGTCTGTTCCAGTCCATATAATCATTAGAATTATGTCTTCGGTACAGGGGCCATAACAGTGGCCAGGACATGATCTACAGGGGCACTGGCCCCCATTGGCCCCTCTCTAGAACCGCCCGTGAGTTAAAGCAATAAGTTAATAAACTAATAAAAATACAGTTTCCTCCTTCACAGACACTATTTGGGGTAAATTCAACTCCTATGGTACAATCAATGGGCATCATCATATAGGAAAGGTTAAAAAAATCAGCAAGCAAACAAAAAGGAAAAACGTGACATGCGGATCCATAATTGGATCACATCTGAAAGCATTGATTTCTGTGGCATTAAATTAGTGGAAGCTGGCATAAAACAAACAACTTAGTGTTAGCTCTAATGCAGACTACACAATTATATCAAGAGTTATGTTAGAAGTAGAGAAAGTTAACTGTTTCTTTTTTTTTAGAGAAGGTTTTTTATATATTCAAGTTATGAACTTCATGGGCATAAGATTTACCAATTCTTTTTTTATGTTTGTTTGATCATGATAAAAATAGGCGACGTTTTCTCTGCTGCAGATTTCAGTGCGTTACTTAAACTTGATTGTATCCAGAGCAACCCAGCGGTATAGAAACCAGCCCTTAAACTTAATAGTATGCATTCTAAAAAGGAAATAAATAAAAAAACATGGAAATCCATTTTAAAAGTTGCAAGTGATTGCAGAGGACAGCCCAAAAAATGTTGTCTAGCTGAACTACAGTAACGTTTTAATTTTAAATTTATTTAGTAAAAAAAAAAACATTCACATTTACAGTCCAGATTTAAAATACTTTGTCCGTATCTTCTAGTTCTCCCTGATTATGATGCTGCAATGAAGACACACAGATACTAATTGGGCTTGCTACAGCCAATTTGGCTTCCTTAGCAAATTGCAGCATTGGGAATACAATTTACCACCAGAACTGACTGCAAAAGACGAGCAAAAAGAACATGGCACAGAGTTACCAAACTATGCTCCTTCCAGTTCAGAGACCCCCACCCCTGAAAAGAAAAAACAGTTATACACAGATAGATGCTTACACATTCCCCTGCTGTCACCCAATAGAAGCATATATCTACAACACAGGCAGACGAGCACAAGACGGTCCCTAAAGAGTGATAAAATAGATGAGAGGAGGATCCATGGTGAGCCTGAAGGACTGGATAAATATTGACCTGAATGAATGAGGTTTGTCAAAGTCCCTAAAAAAGGTTATGAACAAATATACCCCCACACACACACCAAGTAACATCCACGCCCTCCAAGAACCCCTAAGTCTGTAAAACTCACATTTTCTACTTTTCAACTGCAACGAAACTAGGAATCAATATTTCATAGAGAACCTAAGACTTTGCTCCAAGGAAAGAAGTATGAATAATGAAGCCAGTGAGTGTGTGTTTTGCTGATTTGTGTCATTGTCTATATAAGAGTGCAAGTGTGGTTATAGCTACTTTTTTCATTAGGAGCACAGCTGAATTTCAACAACCTACTAGACAAAATCCCAAAAGGATAGAGTATTACATTTCTTTTTTTTTTTTGTGCTGGCCTGAAGGGAAGTAGTTGGTGTATCATTAAATCGAAAATGGAAAAAAAAAGCTGATAAGATCCTTTTTCCTGAAGGTTGCTGAACAAAAGTTTATCAGTGCAAGTGAAATAAGATTTCCAGAAACCATGACAGAAAGTTCCACCCCCACCAACACACACCTCTTTACTGTAAGTTGAGGCTTTGGCAAAAGAAATTCATTGTCGTATTAAAAATACCAATTTTTTCTCACACTGCAGAAAGTAAAAGTTTAGGGATGTCTACTCACAATCCTCTTCATTGGGTACACCTATGTGTTTCTTAGTTTCCTGAAGGTCAAAACGAGCCTCAGTTTTAGGGAGGAAAAAAATTAAAACCATTAGGATTGTTGTTTTGTTACCATCCCAACCATATATGACAAGGATTGTTGTTTTGTTACCATCCCAACCATATATGACAAACCAGATGAATTAATTACTTTTATTGAGCCTCCAACCTGTTAGAGTTGAGCTATAGTTGAAGATGGAAACACCAGGTCCAGTAGTTATTCAAGGGTGTGAAATTGAGGCTACAGTTTTTAAAGGTTTAAGAAGTTTTAAAAAATATATATATATATTTTTATTGTGTAATTTTAACCCTTAAATATCAGTAAGGTCTTCCAAAAAACTGTTACCGACAATGTCTGTGTAACCTTTCAGCAGATTGGGGAACTTTATCAGAAATCCAAATCCCCTACAGCTGGATTATTGAATCATCAGTGATGTCACTGCTGCTCAAACAGCCGTCACAGTCACCATCATTTAAAAAAAATATATAAAAAAATGGTGAGCAGCTTTCATACTGGAGCTCATTCTAAAATTGGGGGTCGATATAAAAGCATGTAGGTGTGCAAAACCATGCATACCCTCATCACTGCACACTTTACCTTGATACATCATAATTAGCCTGGAATTGACCTCAGCCTTGTTTTTTTTCACCACCTGAGAGACTGAAAACCAAAGAAAATATGTTAATTAGGCATGAAATTTATGTTTAGGGTTTCCTTGAACCAGTACGTTCTGTTGCTGTAGAACGGCACATTGATATGTTTTACAATAAGAAACACATTTAGCATTCAAGAAAGTGCACAGGAGGAAAAAATAACATTCTCTTAATTATATTAAATAACAGAAACAGGATGGATTTCATTTGGCATTTATTGCAAGTTCATATTCACACCAAGGAGGAAAGAAAATACATTAAAATTAGATCAAGTTTCAGTTCCCCCCTTATTAATGCCTAAAATACACTGACAACCTTTACAAGTCATGATTAACTGTGAATGCCTTTTAAAACATACCGAACAGACTGCTTACACAGACTGTTTTTCAGTTTGGTTACACTTTCACTCCTGATCAGAGTTGTAAATGAAATTGCTATTGTCAGGTGAAGATGGAAGATGGAAACCTCAATTTATCCCTTCAAAAGAACAAGAGTGTTGATTTTATCCGAAATTTCTTTGTTTGTTTTCCTGGAAATATTCATCATTAAATTATCATTTTTCTCTTATACAGTAGATGTGACGTAATTATTTGTTTCTATACATATTCTCTTCAAAATATGCAGCCTCACAATGACAGAACAAGATGCATTGACTGTGTTTACAGCTCATAGGGATTTTATTTGTACAGAGATAAACCACTTTTTTTAAAGGCATCTTTTTACTGGTAGGGTTCCAAAAAGACCTTTCCCAAGCTTTTAATGGGTCGTTTCATTGGCTTTTTTCTTCTTTTTCATGGTTTGCTCTCGTTTTATAGTGCTCCTCTGGAAGATTTCTTAACTTCTGAGCAGCCTGAGACAAAAACACAGCAATATTCAATTACCCAACAGTGTGATGATGCAGACATACACAGCCAGTTTTAGAAAAATTAAACCTCAAATTTAACTTATTCTTATATGCTAAGCATTAAAAATTAAACTAAACAATAGGGTGTTATTGTTGTTTTTAAAAGGTTTTAGCATTTTGTCACATTTTAACCCCACATTTCCTTTTCCTTTTCTTGGTTATGACCAAAGTGCATTGTGGTAAATTAAAAAGATGCACAATTTTAACATTCCCTAAACGTCTGAATCAAGGGCCCGTTTTTTTAAAACCACCTTTGGCTGAATTTACCTCTAAAAACCTTTGTAGTGATATCACTGCTATCTTTTCATATATAATTCCCTTATTTGGAAAAGAGCATCAGTAAATATCAATTTTCGTTTCAGCAAAGAATTTCACTTGGATTTAGTCCTGGACTCTTGACCCATGCTAACGCATGAATACACTTTATTCTAAACTAAACTATATCAGCATTCAGCACCCTGCATCATTCTCTGACCAGATGTCCTGCGTTCTTACATGATGATGCAACCACCAGTATGTTGTACAGTACAAGGGATATGTTCAATGTTTGTGCACCAATAGTCTTGATCCATACGATCACTGCCATCCTAATTTGTTCTAAGCTCCTGAAGGAAACTTTTTACGCATTTGTTTACAGAAAGCCTTTCTTTAGGGTCACTCTTCAAGTTCAAAATTGCCTAGTGAATACCTGGAAGTTGTCCAAAGGACAGATTCCCCCATCTGAGCGGTGGATCTCCTCCTCTCCTCCAGTTAAAACGGGCCTTTCAGCTTCTCTTACACATGCTCTCCTTGTCTGGCGTTTAAATTTAGAAAAACTGCCAATACTTGGTAGGTGTGCAGTTGTGCTTTACTTTTCCCCTTTCTGGCTAAAAGCTGAACTGTGATCTGTATGATTAAAATATGATCTTCAGAATTTCTAAAAAAAAAAAAAACTATACTTCCATAACTATATTTCCATACTCTGTTATTTCTTTGTCTTTTTAAGACTGTTTTTTTTTTTCCCCCCATCACATCCTATCTCTTTTACGGATTTAACAGGTGCCTGCTCCTTTTAAATGTGTGGTTGTACTGTGGGAAATGGTAATAATGCTCAGGAAGTATGAATACTTTTATGAAGCACTGATTCCTCCTTCTATAGACAGTATTGCTACATACATAGTACAGTGGATGGAGGGTCTTCTACAATTAGTGTTACCTGTTCAGGAGTTAGATCCCTTTGCTCCTGAGCGAGCATCTCATACCCCACCATGAACTTTTTAACTGTGGCTGAACGCAGCAGAGGTGGATAGTAATGAGCGTGAAGTTGCCAGTGGGAGTTGTCTTCTTTCAAATGAGGGCCAGTTGGAGCACCTGAGGAACAAACAGAAGAGAGAGAGTTACATGCTTTGTTCAAACCGACTACTGGCTCTTAAGCTTTTTGAGAAGGACAATTTCTAGCTATTAAAAGCATCTTAATGATTTATCATAAATCTAATCATGTATATTTGTATATTTGACAGCATAGTTCCAAATTCCAAACAGGAAGTAAGCAAAGTGATGCAGTTACCGCTAGTTTTAACAGATGTCTAAGACTTTTTTTTTTATGATGGAGAGCTTAAAAAATACTGAAATATAATTAAACATGCCAATCTGATGACTAAAGGGCTGGTTATACTCTTGCAGCAGTGTGTCGCAGTGAGCTTGACGCAGACATTTTTGATTTATGCCCAGTATTTAAGCGGTCTAGATACGGCCGAGGCAGTAAGGAAGTGGGGGCGAGTTTAGTCCGACAACGGAGGGACATGACGGCGAAAAATAGCGGGGATCCAGGTGGAAAAAGGGTCCCAGCGTTCTTGTGCACCTCGCTCTTCTAGCTGGTCCAACTTCACGAGTTGTTTTTCCGCAATTTCGGTCATAAAAAACAAAACAAGCCGGCCTCCTGTCTGCGGTCAGTTACAATTTGGGAGAGGTGCAGCTGAGGGGGCGGGGACATATTTTTGTTCACTGCGACACCTAAGCAGACGACCTAGTTTCGAAGTATAAATCAGCCTTAAAGGTACAGTTAACATTTGTTCTATTCTTTAAATTAAGCAGCTCTAATAGGGCACCTTATAGTGAGCTAGCATATGATTATGGAGCAGTCATGCTACGTTCACACCGGGGGCAGCAAAAGCAGCAAAATCGCGTCTGCTGCTTCATTTTTGCTGCTTGTACCAGTGAATTCTGA